TTTAATCAATCGGTGATCCGTGATTCGTACGAGATGCTGGTAAAACAATTCGGGCGATGGCTTTGGCATATAATGGGCGGCAGTGAGACTCAAGTCTGTTTCTCTCTTCTGATATTCGTCAGTGTTACACTGGTGACCTATTTCCTATATTTGAAATATAACCGTACCTTGAGATATAAATTACCTCCTGGTCCATGGGGACTGCCGTTTTGTGGCTACATACCCTTCATCAAAGGAGCTGTACACCTGCATTTCAATGAGCTGGCCAAGAAGTACGGTGGAATATTTAGCGTTAACATCGGTTCCGAGTTGACCGTCGTTATCAGCGATTATCTCATCATACGCGATTCATTTCGACGTGAGGAGTTTACTGGCAGACCACGTAACGACTTCATGAACATCATCGATGGATACGGTAAGTGTCAGGCACAGCAAATTTTGATAATACACTTTATCTCACGACTTTAGCTCTCGTATCATCGAGACGGGTTAAAGCACTCTGCCGACTTGCTCGTCTTTCGTGCCACGCGTTCGATTATTCTCAATGCCGACTGACATTGGAACTTTCTTTTTTCAATCTGTTGCGCGAAATAATTAGCGATAATAAAATAATTAAGATACAATTTTGGAGAAAACTTCACGAGTGATTTCTTTTCCGCGATTGTTTCCGTGATCACGCATACATACATAAGTGATGGCGCATGAAGGATGCGCAGTAGTCAATTTGTTTAATAAAATGCTCGCATTTGATTAGCTGGTCATGACCATGATTGTTTCTATATTTTCTGAATTATCATTTCCAAGGATTGCGGGTTTCCAGTTGATCCCCGATTAATGCTAATTTCTGTTTCGACGTGTTACAATCAATCATTTGTGGCAGATTAATACCGTGAAAAGGAAATGATTTCGCGAAAAACGTGCCGCATGTATGAGTTTCAGCATCGCTTTCGTTGCTGTTGCAGGTGTCGTTAATACGGAAGGTGCTCTGTGGAAGGATCAGAGGAAATTTGTTCATAATAATCTTAAAAAGTTCGGTATGAACTTCTATAGCCCCAAAAATATGGAATCAAAGATCATGGTGAGTATTAAAATCAAATTAATAAGTCTAATCTTATTGATTTATCTTATATACATAAGAGATATAAAATTTTATTATAAAATTTTAAAATAAATATTGAAGAATTTTTCTTTGGGCGATATTTTTAAAATGTGTCATTTATAATTTAACAACAATGTAATATAAATATATAAAATTATAAATAAATATGTAAATATATAAATATATTAAAATATACATTTTTCTCCATTCAAATAAAATATATAAACAAATATTCTATATACAAAGAAAATATATAAAAATATTTTGCTCACAAAATTTTTCAAAAAATTTAATACAAATTTTTGTAAAATAAACAATCGTAATATTTTAATCTAGCACGAAGTCGAGATATTTCTTAAGAGATTGGTAATGAGACGTGGAGCGCCCACAACCCTAACGTCCTCTCTCGCTGTATCGATCAGTAATGTAATCTGCTCGGTTATAATGGGAATACGTTTCTACCATGGCGATCCGAAATTCGAGAGGTTTATGAATCTCATTAACGAAGGATTCAAACTGTTTGGTAAAGTGACGTTAGCGAATCATATACCGATATTGCGTCACTGTCCGTGGATTAATAACATCCAACATAAAATCGAAAGAAATCGATCGGAAATGGCTGAATTCTTTCAAGAAGTTATCAATGAGCATAAAGCAACGTATAACAACAATAACATTAATGATATTCTCGATGCCTATCTGTATGAAATTCAGAAAGCTGAGGAAGAAAATAGAGAAGATCAGCTTTTTGAGGGGAAAGATAATGGTGAGTAGAAATCGATTTTTTTCAAAGGATTATGCTAGTTCTCTCTGTACAAATAATATTAATAACATTATATTTATATAATTTAACGATTTATGTATAACGCAAAAACTTTTTTGATTGAGCTCTTTTCTTTACACAGTTCGTCAAATGCAACAAGTTCTGGGCGATCTCTTCTCCGCGGGTATGGAAACGGTGAAGAATACTCTGGAATGGTCGATAATTTTCATGTTGCATTATCCAGAAGCAGCAAAAGCAGTACAGGATGAATTGGATCAAATTGTAGGAAGATCAAGATTACCCTCATTGGACGATCGTCAATTTCTTCCGATCACTGAGGCGACAATTCTAGAAGTTCTTCGCAGATCCAATCTTGTACCACTTGGTACTATGCACGCTACTACACGGTAAATTAATTTTTAATTTATTACTCTCATATTGCTCTTGCATCCTCTTTACCGTCCATTTCTTCGCATTATACGACCGGCCCTTTCCCTTTCTTTCTGAGCTAAGAGCGGGTTTCACAACCGTCCTCGCCTTCTTCCTCGGCGGCTTTCCGTGTCTGGCATATCAGAACCTCACGCGCGCGCGTGCACAGTCGTTTTGGACGATTATATTCGGCGAGCAAAAGTGAAAGCAAAAGGTGCCTGGCCCCTCGTCTGCTTTTCGGTCGGACAGCCCCGCCTTTGGTTCGAGGCGTTTAAGGTTAATGACCTTAAAACTGTTTCTCTTACAAAGAGCCTATCAGAGTCAGAGCAGGTGAATCGGATTCGATACATTAAGAATACTTGTTAGCAATGATCGTTCATGAAAGCAGCGGTCGCCATTAGAAACAAAACGGGCGACAAGGTTTCACTTCTTCGCGAAGAACGTGGCTAGAAAAAGCGACGAACGCATATGTGTGCGTGTAAAAACCCAAGTTAACTTCATTAGTTGGTTAATATCTCGTGTAGTTAATGACTGTTGAAATATATGATTATCAAATATTAAATACAACAATTAAATTAATTTTTGCGTGAAATATGTATTGTGTATCCTCTTTTAGAAAATTACTAATAAAGTGAGCTAATTATTATCGATTATTTTTAATCGATTAATTTTCATCAGTTGGAATCTTCTAAAAATATTATCACAGTTGGAAAAAATGTATTGAATTTAAAAGAAATTTTTAATAAAATATTAATGTAACTTTTACATATTAAGGCTGCTTTTCTTTGCACGTATAACATATCATCGCATTTTGCCGCGCAGTAAGCGTTTCTATGTCTAGTATGTAGAAGCCATAACACGTTATCATGCCGAGACGTTATCATCCTCTTGTTATAGAAAATCAGTACTCTTATTTTGTAACTCTTATTTTAACATATTTAATAAATATATGCAAATTGTGTTGCCTTAATATATTTTTAAATCATTTCAATAACATTTACATTTTATATTTACTAAGTTCATTTAATATAAGAAACATATTTTAAATTTATATAATGCGTTCATTACTTTACACCTTAATTCGTAGATTTTTTTCACAAAAATATACAAATTTTTCAACAGTGTAATTATTGTTGCAGGGATGTGATGTTAAATGACTATATGATACCAGCCGGTACCAGCGTGGTATCGTTGTTGTATGCGGTGCATATGGATCCTGAACTCTGGGACGAGCCGGAAGCCTTCCGACCCAGCCGTTTTCTCTCTGCCGAAGGTAAAGTGTCACAGCCACAATTCTTCATGCCCTTTGGAGTCGGTAGACGAAAGTGCCTGGGTGAGGTGTTGGCCCGCATGGAGATCTTCCTATTCTTCAGTTCGCTAATGCACATGTTTAACTTGAGCCTACCTGAAGGAGCCCCATTGCCCAGCCTGGAAGGCAACATTGGCGTAACAATATCACCGACATCCTTTAAAGTTTGCTTGCTGCAGAGAGATCTGCTTTTGGCAGATTGCGACAACAACGAAGTCTCGGTCAATGGACCCTTGCGTAACATTGGCAGCCATTAAGACCTCGACGAACTTTAAAGCACGGGCACGGTACTTGTTCCTATTGCCGGAGAGGCGAACAGGCAGAGGAGAATCTGCAAGTCGCGTGCTAACGCTATGGGGTCCATCCACGCATGCCAAGCTGGAGATCCGTAAGATTATTTAATCGTACACTAATTATAAGAGAATGATAAATTGCGCTTCATCAAAATCTTTATGTAAAATAAAATATTTGCGAAAATTTTGACATTATCCTACCTTAAAAAATTTGTAGATGTTTTTTTAAATTTAAAAATGAGCGGCTTTCAGTTTAGGGATTTTAAGTTTACAAAAAAAAAAACTTGTTTTAATTCTTAGAAATTAGAAATTCTTTCAAAACGTAATCGATTGTTCTCTATCATCTAAAGTACAATTTAATGAATATAATTTGAAATTAATGATTCTTAAAAAAAAAAAAAAATTGATAGATTGTAAAAGTTACTGAATAATTCTACTAATGTAAAAGAATCATGTAAGTTAGATATAAGCTAGATTCTCGAGTGTATCCAATACTCGACATGCCTAATTACTCCGTTTAAGTCACTTTGGTATGGCGAGATTTCATGTAATTTTATTTCATTTTTTAGTATTATATCCATCATTTTATTATTAATAAAATACTTTTTACAATTTCATTTTTTTATCTTCGATGACATCCAGATTTTAATAAATTTACAATCTTTTTTATATTTCGAATTAATGTACAGTATATAGAACTAAAAAATGAATTTGCCTAAAACGTATATATAAATATTATTAAATACCAAGATCCGCTTTGACTGAAAATAGGGATCTTATTTAATTTATTATTATTGATCCAATTTCTATTTACAATTTTTTCTGTTTTTTATATTTTTTTAATTCGTGACGTTTACCGTCGACGCCATACCAAAATTTTTTTTACCACGTATGCGAGATTAAATAATGTCATGCTGATCAAAAATTTGATCAAGAAAATAGTCAATCGTGTAAAAATGTGAGTATCATCGAACTGCTAATTGTGATACCGTTATCACAATCCCGTTAAAAATTTTAAATAGTCATCTTATACTAGCGCCGAGACCATAATAGTAGATTAGTTTTTTTGATGTAGAAGAAATTTTTTTTTAGAGATTAGTTAATTTACTTAATTTGTTAGAGTACAAAGGAGCTTATTTCACAACATTTCTCGCTACTTCCTCCTTTCTCCTTACTCTCTCATTTCATACCAAACTCATTATTCCAATTCTTCAATCATTCATAAGTATTTATTGCTCTGCAAATATTAGGTATGGGAAAAAGTTCGTGGCGTTTTTAATGCCATCTAATAGGAAAAACGTCACGAACTTTTTCCCATACCTAATATTACTTTGTTCCCGTTCACCCTTATTCGTATTTATTCGCGCTTAATTTAGATCGGCGAGATTGACAAGCGAGATTCGTCCGACGTATCTCGAACAAAATTTCGACAGTGATTTCGTACCTTACTGTCAATTTTACTTATTTTTTTATTGTGCTAAGTCGTGGCTCTCAACGGGATATTTCGCATGTTGAGAATTATCTTTATGATATTAACGATTTCAAATGCAACCTTTCGTGCTTAATGAATAACGCCAATCTTGCTGTACTATACTAAATCGTGATTCTCGCCAGAATGTCTCGTCGAGAGCTTAACGACGTTAATGACGTTAACGACATCAAACGCGATTAAATAACACCGGCCGGTCTTCCAAACGGCCGATTGATTCGATGCCGTCGATTCGCCATAGATCTCCGTGAACGAACGAGGATAGCAGCTCATTATCCGAGGCTCCTCTTTCGTTCACAATAATAATAGCAATTCATTATTAAGATAAGAAGACAGTAAGCGAGAGAAAGAGAAAGAGAAAAAAAGACAGTATATTTTTGTAAATAAATATGATAATTTTGATTGTCAGCATATACGTTTGATGGTCACGTATACGTTGAATGATTTTAATGTTAAATACAAAGCTGATCGACGCCACCACGTGCCAATATCGCGTTGACTTTTCTAACGATTTTTCTAGCAATAGGATATAAAATCGATGCTTCGAAATCGGTTGATCCACGAATTGGTCACCCAGGCAGGCCTAAGCCCGTAAGCAATTTTCGTGAAAGTCGTCGTTGTGAGATTCGTTTTGAGATTTTGTTGCGACATCTGCTATTCGATGATCGCGCAGTGCGATGAACGTTTGGAAATGCTAGAATGAATGTCGATCAGACCGATTAGATTTATTGCCACACAGCTCGGGTGCGAGCGCGGACTGAGGCTGTGAATCTAAGAGACCCGGGATGTACGGTCGATGAATCATTGTGACGTCGTTCAATCCGATTTCCCAAAGATATCTTAGGCTGTGCATCCTAAAATCGGCGAGGAGCCGCGCAGTAACGGTTCCGATCTCGTTCCTAAGATTAGAAGCTCGAGTCCAAAATGCGTACCCTTATTCTTAAATTTAAGCGTACTCGACGACTGATGGACCCCGCTTCCACGGGGTCGATGCCGCGCGCGCAAAGCTCCCTCACTTAAGTATCCGATATAGAGCGTTAATTAGTCTTATGTTAGCATGCATGAATGCCGTATTGTGTTCACCTATCGACAGCAAAAAACGTTTGTTCTTTCTTCTTTCTTTTACACAATAAATCTTGTACACAATAAAGATGTTGTATAATTGAAATGATCGTTCGATTTATTCATCCCTATCACAACAATCATTAAAAATATTATTATTCTTATTAATAAATAAGTTAATAAATATTATTATTCTTATTAATAAATAAGTTAATAAATATTATTATTCTTATTAATAAATAATATTATTCATCTTAAAAAATTCAATCAGAATTGATGTTCATTTCGAAAAGATTTTGAAAAGATTTCATAAGCAAATTTTCAAAAATTACAGCACAAGATAATAATTCTTTGAGTATATTCAGATTATTTCATTATTTGGCAACAAAATAACAGTATACAACAAAATAACAATATATTTAAAATGTATAGAAATATCGCTAAAAAGATTTCGCTATAAAGATATGTATCAAGGAAACATACATTTGTAATGACGAATCGAATGTTCATCAGCCGAATATTTCAAGAAATTCTTGGAATCGAATTCTTTATCGAAAAAACCGCGAAAAACTTTATTGGAAATTGCAGTCTTGGAAACCGGATTCTTAAGGATGAGTAAAAAAAATTTATGGTTCTTCAGCTGCATGCATCATCGGCCTTCGGTTCTCTGATCGCGCGCTCATCCCTTCCTGCCACTACTCAATTCTTCGAGGACTTCTGCTTGGAGCCTACGAAAGAGTATTGAGCTGGGCCTAGCTTTCTCTTCCACTGATCCGTTCAGCCTCGTATTTGGTAAGACACTTTTCAATTCGTACAGTCATTCACGAATAGCTCCAATCTCATTAATTACTTTAACTGGGTGCAGATTAAAAAGAAAGTCGTAAAAATTAATGGTTTATTATAACTTAATTGCAATTGTCAACTAGAATCATTAATTCGATATTTTCACGTTTAAAATTTCACGTTTAAAATAATTATTGGAATTTTTGAAAAAATATTATAATTTGAAGAATAAGAAAAATTTGGAAGTCTGTTAGAGTAATCATTTACTGCTTCTCTCTGTCAATAATTCCGCGTATTGTCTCGTACGATATGCAAGATTCATGTGGCATCGCAGAACGAGGGACAAACAGTTGGCGCGCGCTTACATAAGAGAAACTCGCGCGTTCTGGGTTTCTAACGAAATATCATCACTGAGTACATTACGCCGGTAAGGTTAATGACACGAGAGTCAAGTGGCCCCAAACCGCATACAAGTTACGTAAGGTCAGCTCACACCAGTACGTCCCAGGGACGGTGCATTGATAACGCATTTCCTGCAATATCGTACTATAAAAGTGCATTGGTGTTCCAGGTGTGCAATCGCGACACGTGGCGCTTGCTGCCCCAGTAAGGGCCCTTTTACTTCGCGCTTCGGCATATAACTTCGTGGCCTTTTCTCGCCGAAGAGTCGGTCGAGTGCCAACTGGCCTGCCACAGTAAAGACAGAAAGTTTGTGAAGAACCGTTGCTTCAAGGCTTGGCTCAATGAAGCAGGAAGAGGCGTTTTGTGGTTTATTTTCTTTTTTTTTATTAGCACAAAGTTGAAAGTATGTTAGAGCAGGGTCTTTTTATAACTCGGATCGTTTGGATTTCTTCATCTTTTTCCCAATAGAAGTTCGACTATCGCAATATAATTTATCAAAAAGTTCCATGTAAGAATTGATTGATTGTTTCGTTTCGTTCATCAATTTTACGTACATGTTGTAAGTTATACTTATACCATTTATATTTGTTCCAAATTTCTATTGTATTAATTATTTATTATATTACACATTATTACAATCGCCAAAAAAATTTTAAAACATTTGTAATATTTCTTAGTAAAAAGTTATTAATTTATTCTCATGTGTCATTGATATAAAAAATGTCGTTTAACTTGTTATACGATGTAAGCTAAATTAGATTAATAAATTTGACATGGCAAAAAAATATATAAATATATAATATAAATATATATATAATATATAATATAATATATAAATAAAATTAATAATTCCTTATAGTGCTGTTTTATGTATATTGTGTAATTTTGTGTTCACTGCGCGATTGTGTTCACACTGCAATTCCATAATAATATTAAAAATGCATGGAATATATTGTCGAGAAAGGAAGAAGCAATACATTCATCATCCGTTTCGATTTCGAATCTTGACCTTTTCTTACTTGCTTTTAGAGAAAATGTTAAAACTCTTAAAATTAGAATAGTACACTGTAGCTAATATAAGACTAGAACTAATGCATGTTATGTAAGTCAATATGGCACTTTATGCTGGATAGTCGCTGGATAGTTTGATTGCTATGCTATATTATGCTTATTTTGCTATTGCCCTTAGGACTTTGGTTTTCTTTTTTTCTATAATATTCTTGTGCATCAAGAGAATAGCAGAAAACATAACCAATGTTGATGTCTAGAAAGTAATATAAGAAAATTCCAATCAATTTCGACAATCAAGGAATAGTAAAAGGAAACGCGCAATTTCGGCAGTAGGTGAACGGTGCGCTTATAGTTCACCCAAGGTCGCTACATTGTGAGATAAAAATGTATGT